GGGGGGGGCATGAAGCAACTTCTTGCTTCAGAAAGGCCGGCCATGGGAGCGGTCCACACGCGGGGGCACCTGTGGCAGGGGTGTTGGGGTGGTTTGGCCAATCTCCGATAGCCAGTCCACCAAGTCCCGGTGACTGGTGGTGGTCCCACTGGGCCGCGTGCGTGATCGGCCCCGGCTGGCAGCTGGCTGCGGCGGATGCGCCGATGGACCATGCACGGCGGCCGTGGATCGCGAGTTCGCAGCCACATGTGCCCTGGTGCCACCCGCGCGCTGAGGTGTGACATCTGCATAGTTGGCTGGCGCCTGGCGGGAACGGCTACCACGCTCTGGCTCCTGCCAGTCGGCCGGGTGCGTGGCGCCATGGGAGGCCTGGCTTCCAGCACGCGACCGAAGGAAGTCCGCCTCGTTGACTGGCGCATGGGCACGCGAGGAGCCATTCGCCATGTTATGATAGGGTAGAAGGGGCCGCCGGCTGGTTGACCGCCGAGCTGGCGTTTCGATGGCCAGCCGGTCGAGATCCGAAGGCCGAGGGCCGGAATCCGGGTAATGCGGCGCAGACGCCGCCAACCGGGCCCCCGCTTGTTGGATGGCTCGCTTGTGCAAATCGAACACCTTGCGCTTGAGGTCGCGGTACTTGCGCCGGAGCTCCGCAATCTCGTCCTGCGCCGAGGTGAGAGCCTGCACAGCCCGGGGCAGGACCGGAGGGGACAAAGCCAGGGGGGGTGTGACCAGAGCGTCAGATGGCCGACGCAGAGGTGTGCGAGACAAAGGCGGACATAGGAAGGGCAGGAGCGCCAACGCACCTGCTCGGCGGCAATCCGGCGACCCTCGGCATGTGTGGGGTTACGAGCATTCTCCCGGGCCACCTGACGCCAGTAGGACTTTTCCGCTGCAAGCTTCTGGATTTCCCCGTGCAGTTGCCCGACAGTGGCAGCCAGCTGCTGCTGGCTCAGTGCATGGCCAGATCTCGAGGCGGGGGCCAGCGTGACTGCCGGCTGCTCAATGCGGTGCTGGGAGTGTGGCGGGCCCCTTGACCGGGGCTGTGATTGCGACTGTGGCTGTGGCTGCGGTTGCGGTGGCTGCGCCTGCGGCTGCGGTGGCTGTCGTGACGGCGGGTGTGCCTGCATATGCTGACCATATCCGGGAGCCGAGGAGCCGGAGGAAAAAGAACCCCCTGAAGTCGAGGAGTAAGACGAGTAAGGATGCATGGCCTGCTCCGGTGCCGACGCCGACCACGACTGCGGAGTTGGCCGCGCGGCCGAGGGGTGTCTGTGGGCAGGCGCCTGGCCACCCCCACCAAAGGTGCGATATGCATCATGCAGCAAGCGTTCAATTTCCAGGTCCGAGTCCGAGTCCGAGTCGGAGTCCAAACCAGTTGGACCTGGCTGACTGGCCGCAGGAAGGCCGCCGATGAAGACCGGCCTCGGGTGACCAGCCGAATGCTCGGAGGCAGCGGCTGCTTCGCCAGTTGTGGCGTATGGCCCTCGCTCGGGCCAAGCACCGGAAGTAGCTCGGCTTGGGTATTCGCCTGAACGAGGGCGCTTGGGGACCCGGCTGTCGCCCTCAAGTGCCATGGGCGAACGGAAGTGCCCAGCTTCCGAGCGTCGAGGCCAGCTGGGCCGAATCGAACCTGGAGACAGCCTGGCATCCAGCTGATTAACCAATCGATCCAGTCGAGTGAAGTCAATCCGATCGGACGGAGGGGCAGACGTGGGCGGTCCTGCCGGCGCGCCAGGCGCGAAGATTGGTAGCCCGGTCAATGATGAGGGGGCGCCGAAATGTCCCTCGGGCAGCCTTCCCGGGACGCCCATCATCGCCACAGGAGGCGGCCCAGGAACCAGATGGAAAACCGGCATTCGAGGATTATGCGGAGCGCTAACTGGGGGGACGCCAGTTGGCCCGGCATAGTGAGCTGTGGAAGCGGCCGGAGCATAGGAAGGGGCGAAAGCTCCGGAAAGGTAGTACTCCGAAGAAGAGGGCGAGGGCTGCATGGGAGGAGGAGTGGGAGCTGTTGCCACCGGCGGCTGGTAGCCTCGCATTGATGGTGGTATCGACGGTGGCATCGACGGCGGCATCGACGGCGGCATCGACGGCGGCATCGACGGCGGCATCGACGGCGGCATCGACGGCGGCATCGACGGCGGCATCGACGG